ATTCGACCCGTTTTTCATTAGAGTAAACGAGTTCGGATATCAAAATTATTTTTCAATCCAAACTCGAAAAAATTTATCGGATCCGAATTGGATCAAGATCGAAACCTGACCCATTGACATCCCTAGTTATTGAGGACTTGTGAGAGAAATAACAACATAACGTTACAGCACAAAAACTTTACCATCAAACTTGCTCAAGCTTTCGCAAATAGCCGCCAAGCTGGGTCATATCAGGAATACAAATTACAAAAATATATTGTAAGCGACGTACGAATCATGATAACAATGCAAACTATATAATAACATATTAATTTTTAAAGATTTTTGTATTTGTATCCATTGCTGATACTTAGGAAATGATGTGTTTTGTTAGTTCGTTCTACAAATTAATTAATGGACTCAGACCATCATCAGAAGTTCAGAGAAAAGCACCGTGACTTTTGTCAGTTTCCTTTCCCAACGTCTAGATTTGGATGAATTTAGGCACTGAGCCACCATAGTAAGAACCATTCCTGATTATTAGCTCAGTTCGGAAATTCCGATCAAGTATGCTTTACGTCAATCTTGCATAAATCAGCAAATCCCAATATAGGGGCTTGAATAGAACTTAATTACGTATAGGACCTAACTCATGTTCACTCAATACAAGCACAATTCCATGACTGGAAAATCACAGTGGAGGATTCCTTAAAGGAACTCCTGGAGTAAGATGCAATGACTACGCTAACATGGCTGTATTGCTATACTCAAATGTCTCAGCATCAGAATCCAACAATTTCCATGAACATCCCTAACTATTTCACCATGATATTCCAAAGCCAGAACCAAGAAAAGAATACAAAACAAAAATATAGGAAAATTAAGAAAATGGATTCTAGCACTGTTCATATGATGGCATATGATGATCCAAGCAGAACACACAAAATTGACACAACTCCTCTTGTTTGGCAATACCCATCAATGCACACCCCACCCACTCCAGAATCCAAAAGTGATCAATGCAACGTTACTGCTGCTTACATTCAGGAGGTCTCTCACCCGGCTGACCGTCACCAATTGGTACTCTTCCACTCTTCTACAATTTACAGCAAAACAAATCATCAACATTTGACATACATAAATTGGATCATATAACTTCAGGGAAATAGACTATTAGAAATCACACCTTCAGTGAAACTAACAACAAAAAATATTGGCAAGCAAGGACGAAAGAAAACAGAAATGATGTGACAAGAAAAGGATCAAAACCAACACAGCTATCACTAACAACAAAAGTCCTAATCCTTTTACCTTCTTCCTGTTCTTGGGTTGATCATCCTCCTCATCATCCTCCTCGTCCTCGTCATCTTCCTCCTCGTCCTCATCATCTTCCTCCTCCTCATCATCAAGCTCTTCATCATCATCATCATCTATTTCAGCAAACTCATCACTAGCGGCTTCCCCAGTGAACCAAGAGACAGCATGCGGGATGATTTTATCTCGAATGGTAGAACTGCAGGAACAAGAATGAAAAGCATCCACTTCATTGATATGATAAACATGAACCATGAACCCAAGGAAACAATCATTTAAACATTCAAGGGCCCAAAAAGAAACACAATATATCCAAAGTTTCAAGTTCTTCATAAAGAATATTACTGTACAACTTACCCAATGTCATAGTCTTGTTCCATCAAGTTCTGGAGCTCCTCAGCCTGTTCAAAAATCATGAAGAAGAGAAGTTAGAGAGGAAAAGAACAGCTTTCTCCTTCTAAGCATAAAGGCAAGTTGGCTTACAGCATCTTCATCAATGTCTTCATCATCCTCAGGGACTTGTGGCGGACTAAAGAAGTTGAAAAAACTTTCACATTGCTCAGTTTTAGTGATTGGCTTGGCATTCTTTGACCCCTTCTTAGGCTTCTTTTTAAGGATTTTCTGAGTCAAGCATTTTCCTGGGTGCCATTCGATCTCCGTCCTACAGGAACACAAAAAAGTGAGAAGAGAGAGGGAAAATGTTGTAATAGCACTTACATAGTGACTGACAAAGTAAACCCCAGCTTACCCTATTGCTTTCTCTAGAATAGGCTCATCTTCATCAATCATGTGATATGTTTTGGTCAGAACAGAATTTTTAAAGTAAGGATTGGTGTCAAAAATGAACTCAAGCTTGAAACCCTTTGGATTATCAATCCTTGCCCACTTTATATCTTTGAGAAATTTGAGAGCTGCTTCATCTCGTTCAGAAATCTGGCTCGATTTTCATCAACCCAGTTAATAGCCCAAAATAATTGGAGCAAAAAGTGCACGAGTAAGAAAATTGTTGCTAGAATGACTAACCTCCTCGGCAATAACTTCATTATTCTTCATTGCAGTCAGCCAGAAACTAGGAACACCTTTATCTGCATAAAAAGTAGATGTCAAGCTTTATAATGGACAACCAAGGAACAGATTCCAAAATATCGTGAAATTTTACCCTCTGAAGTTGTTTCATCCTCTTTTGCAGCCTCAGCTGTAGCACCTTCAGCTTCATCAACTCCATTCACAATAGTATACCTCTGCACATAATCAAAATTTCTCATCACAACACGGAATTCAACTTTAAGTCTGAAGTTTGATGGGAACTAGCACACAAAAATATCATGCAAAAGCATTGCCGACCTTGGCATAAAGTGGTTGATATAACTTCTGATACTTGGCTTCCAGAGCTGCTCTCTCCTCAAAAAATTTAGCCTCCAATTCATCATGTTCACTCTGTTGATTAGGAAGACAGAAATACACAAATAAGCAGTTAAACGCTTGAAATCCACAAATCAACCAAAACCATTTCAACATCAAGAAAGGAAGTAGCATTCAGATAAATACAATAATATCAGATGCGGTTTCACAGAAAGTGATAGGCAACTACTACGTCTTGGACTTCATTTTCATCATATCACTGTAGCATTTTATTTATATAGATAAATTAAGTTCAACTTTCTTATGACTACAGACCCCAACTGGATCTGATTGCTCAACTCCAAACTCTTGGGATGCCATTTTGGCTCTTCATAAGACATCTGGAGTTAAAAGAAAAATTTAAACAACTGTTGCAAAACCGAGATTCTAAAATACCTACAAACAGAACAAGGTTTAGCTGTGTTAATACAAGAAGTGTCAAGAAATGCATCCAGTGATCAGTTTTTAAATTGAAAAATAAAAAGGAAAAAAGGAAAACCTTTTTTCCTCAGGGTGGTGTAAATCCCATTTTACAGTAGGTGTAAATCCCACATCTGCGATCCAAGTAATTACAAATATGGAACCACCTATGAAGCCTTATCTGGCCGGAAAAATAACATTTTATGACCAAAAGGGCAAGCAGTCGATCGCTCAAAATTGGTAGAACTAATATCTTTCCCAATTTCCAACCACATACAGCGGTACCAAATTTAATCATTGACTGGAAGATAATTGAGCAAAAGCTGATAAAAGCTACAAGAAACTGCTGAAACACTTGCACGCCTATCCAAGCACAAGTACACACACTAGTACACTATTTTAAATTCCCATGTATTTATAATTAACAGTGTTAGAGATTAAATCACATGCCTGAAGGCCCCTTAGAACCTCAACACGCTTCCTGACTACCGGCGACAAGTTCTCCAACACATCTGAATGCTTCCCAGTAAGATCTTGAAGCTTATTCTGCATAAGAAAAAAGAGGCAAGTAGCGTACACCATTAATTTCAACAAGCTCATGAAAAATCCACAAAACAGAATCAACCCCAACGAAATCCTAATCAGTGTGATTATTCGCCAAGCCTCTAGAACAGAGATTTGCGACGGACCAAAAAAGAGAACAGAAAAAAAAGACAGAAGGAACTTACTTTGAGAGCATTAACAAGGTCTGCTCTATCCTCAGCATTCAAAGCTAATAATAACAAGTTAAAAAAAAAAATTAGAACCCAGAAAAGTAACTAAAACAACAACCACAAAGGTAACTAAAACAATCTTGGAATGTTACTAATAGTTTCCATACATAGGGGCTTGGGGTGGGCTGGGGAGGGGGGTTAGAAGGAAGAAGAGGAAAAAGGATTTTAGGTTAATACCGGAGGTGAGATCGGAAACGTTAAAGTTGTCTTTGCTGTTGCTCATTTCGCAGAAGAGGCCTCGTTGCCGGGAGAGGAGGGGGGGGGGAGGGGAGAAACCCTAGAACCCTAGAAGAAGATTAGAAGAGAAGAAGAGAAGCGAGGGGGAGGCAAGAAAGAAAAGAGATAGAGGGAAGATATATATATGAGGATGGATGGATGGATGAGCTAAAGCAAATAAAGCTAAAGCGCCTCCTTAATTAATTGTTACTGTACTATAGTTGTAGCAAATTGGCAATTCCTTCCCTCTCCTCTTTTTTTCCTTGCTCTCACCACTCCAATACTCCATCAAGTTAAGTATATATCTCTCTCCCCGAAACCTAAGCCTGGGCTCCATTAAGCAGTGCGTGGCAGTGTTCTCTCCTTTTCCTTTTTTTTTTTCCCCTCCCTCTCTCTCGTTTCTTTGAATTTTGTTTTTTGGTTTTTGGGGGGGGGGGGGGGTGGCTGGGTGGCCAGGGTGGGTATCTTTATTTTCATTTTTTCTTTTTCCTGTTTTGTTGGGTAGGTTGGGGACTTGGGGTGATTCAGAATTACTCGTACATAGTAGAATTTTGCACTACCTTTTTTTTTGGGAAGGAAAATATATATCTGAAGTTTTCAAATATCTCACATTGCAACAGCGGGGACGAAGGTTTTTGAAGATCTTTTATTAGGTCAGCAGCTAGTAGGCGATGAGTCGAGGGCTGCTTAATGCTTGTCCATCGAATCGAATCAGTAGCATTCACAGATTTTTAGATCCTCAATTACCATTTTGGCATCAGTTTAAGCAGAATCCAAATCCGCATATTCCACAGGTCATTGAGGCGTATCAATCTGCCTCCGATTCACACTCAGCGCTCTTTCCGTCTTTCGTTTCAGCATCCGGCTGTACAAACAATCATCCAAACAAGCAGAGTCTACGATCAAGGAAAATTCATATACAATGAAACATCTACACATTTCACTCGTGCATGATGGCACTGCAATAGAGTACATCGGAGTTTAAAGAATAATTCCGGAAAAAAAAAAAAGAAATTTTGGTTTTACTCCGCACAGAATTCTTTCAGATCAGCGCATTATGGGGACCAAACAAGAAGAAAGTGAGAAAGCATCATAAACGAAGCAACTGACAACTATCTCCATTCTGTGGTTAGCACAGCTTCCAGGCAGCACATTTTAAAGATCATCAAAAGAAAACGTCAATGAGCAGATCTGGTACTTCTATGGACATTTCCAAAATCAAGAGTAGGTCTTCCAGCTTGAGTTCAGGAAGGGTTCAAGCAGTGGCAGCACTTTCATCTACATCTACCTTGTCATCATTGGCATCTGATTTGGGATTAGCATTCTTTGATGGCTCCAACGCAAAAACACGTCCTGTCATTGGATCAACCCACCGTGTATCCTTTGGTCCTCCTTTTCGTCCCATTGCCAACATAGGTGGTGGAGGCAACACTCCTGATCTGAAAAGAAGACGTTGAACAGGCTCGGAAGGCTGTGCACCAACAGAGAGCCAATATCTACAGAGCAAGCATAGGTCACCAATTAAATAACTTTCACATTTCAATCGACAATTGAAAGAAATCACCGGTTATATGTAAACCAAAAAGCAGATACTCCACAGAACAGGTTTGCAAAAGAGCTTAATATTCTATCCCACTAGATTGTAATGTTGAGCAAGAATGGGAGGCATATCTCATAGAGAGTTATGGTTTTATTGCCATTTTTGGACCATCAACAGGAGCCTTTTCGAAGTTTGGAAGTGCTTACATGTCCTTCATTTATAAAACATTATCTAAGGTTAGAGATTCTTACCATCTACATTCCATCTGTCCATGCCTCTATAGTGTGTAGCAGCTATATGGTAACTATTTTCAGAATGAATTACATTTGAAAACCAGGAAAAAAGCACCAAGTGATTTCTGAACTTTCAGAAAAGGCTTCTGTATAGCTCTCAACTTACAGAAATGAAATGATATGAAATACCTCAATCAACTGCAGAGTTTAGCATCTTATCACAGGCAAACATTGGTACGTAAAGCAGCCTATAATGACTTATCTTACTGAGAAAAGCTCAGCCTAGCTTCTACTTAAATAAATACAAAGAGCGGAATCACACTGAAATTAAAATATTTCAACTAATACATTACCAACTTCACAAAATGGACATTGGAATTGAAAATTTATGCAAAGCTTGATTAGTGAGCAAAATGTTCCATGAAGGTGAATAAGCACCGTAAGATGTTGAGTTTAAATCAAACCTGCCTCATACAAAGTCTAAAGTATTTACTACTACAACACAAAAGATCTTTTGACCATGTTGAGGTGGAGACTCTCACATGTAAGTAGAAAAGGAGAGTTCTTTCCACACACAAACCCACATAGAAGCATCCAACAAGAGAAGAGAATCAGGCAAACCAAAGAAGAAGCAAGATTGCAAACCAGATGAATGCTAAGCTCACACAATTAGGCACTAGTAGGTCGTTTAGGCAGTATACCAAGCATGTTCAGATATAGAAAAAAAAAAAACAAACAAAAATCTGATTAAAGGTTCATGTCTGCCTAAAATGGCAGGCATGGATCTTCCCGGAGGATACATTGATATATGATATTTCAATATTTGGACGAGGTTCAGGCAGACCACACTTTCAGCCACTTTTATTAAGTCTAGCAGAAAATTTAAACTCTAGATGGGACATATTTCTACAAGAAAACCGCGCTTATTACAGAGCTATTATAGCCAGCAGGCAGTGTAGTATCCAAAACGATACAAACTTCAAGGAGAACGAAATCACAAACATCAATGAAAAAAAAAAGAAAACTTAGAACAAAAAAAGTGAATAAAAGGGTATATAACTTACTTCACCCTGTCAAAATTAAGACCCATCCGCTTACCGCCATCCTGACCTGCATCAATCAATTAATTTTTTTTTTGTTAAATTTCGAAGAAACAAGCGTGCAGTAAATGAAGAGCATAATTACGATAAGAAGCAAACTGGGGAGTATAAAAATTGGAGTAGTTTATAGAATAATTGATAGCAAGAGAGAATGAAGGAAGCATAAATATAATTATTGACCAGGGAGAGGATTGTAGTAGCCGAGGACTTCCAAATGCTTGCCGTCTCGAGGAGATCTGCTATCGGCGGCCATCACCCGGTAGAACGGCTTGTTCCTGCACCCAAACCGAGACAGCCTTATCCTCACCGCCATTTTTCCTTCTTCAAATTCTCCAAAGATATCCTTCTCTCTCTCCAATATAGTTAAGTCATTCACTGTGTGTGCGCGAAAGTTCGGGGCTCTGGAGGACGAAAGGGAATGAGGGTCCAAGGGTTTTGCTCTGGGCTTTTGTCTAGTCTAGCGAACTACTGCTACTAGTATTTGTCCAGCGGCGTCGTTTTACAAAACAACCAACAAGTTTTTTTTTTTTTTCCCCCGCCCCCCTTTTTTACACCCTCGCCTTCCAAAACTAACCCTCAAACGTAGTCGAATTTATATAATCACGCCAACATAACCCCAACCGTAAAAGGCTCACGCTTTCAACCCCTCTCAGGGTCTAGTCTGTACAACCCGCCGCCTCACTGTCACCGGTCACTTCTTCTGTCGTCACCGCCAGGATGCAAACTGCTACTATTACTGACAGACGTCCCCAGACGATGCCATTTCATGGTATTCAGCAAAACCGTAGCCCAGAGCCATCCCAACCTGTAAATTTTCCCCAAGTTTAGACTATCAGCTGAAGTTTTCGAAGTCCCCAAATTACACAACGACCACAAAAAATCAAACCGAATTCAAGAAAGCATGGAGAATTCAGGTTTTGGGACTACCCGGGACCATCTCTTTACTTTCCCACCTCATTCCAATCGGCTGCGGCGCCGGCCCCTCCAGAGCCAAACCTACCGTACCTTGCTTTCCATCTTATCGCATTGCAATGCCCTCCAATCTTTTCCGCAACCCCAAGTACCGGGTAATTTCATTTCTCTCTGATGTATTTTGCTTTTATAAGTGGCTGTTTTTCTACCGCATAAATGTCAGAGAATACAATAGTAAGGTAAAGCAAGGCCTTTGCTTAGCGAATTCTGATAAGCTGGTAATCATGGAAAAAACTATAGAATTGATATCATAAAGTAGAGATGCAAGCTGGGAGTAACGAGGAGATGGAAATTTTCAAGTTATGCTTTGCCCATTCATACTGCTTGTGACATACGCTTCCCAGGATTTAAGTTTCAACTTTTCCGCCCGTGTTCATTCAAATCTACCGAGAGTCCAATTTCAGTCGGTTTCTTTTTTTTTTTTTTTTTTTTAATTCCAGTTTCTTCAAGATTTCATGATCCCAAGATTTGTTATTTGCATGAGATAACCGAAAGGAATGTTTAGAATGATTGATTTCCTTACTTAAATTTGCTAATTATAATTAACAAAGCATGGTTTTCATTGTTCCCGTTCTCCTCACAAGATGACAATGACGACATTGACTCCAATAAATCAGGAGAAGAGGCTGAACACGAGTCATTAGTCAACCACAATGGTATGGATTTGGAGATGTCATTAGTCCAACAAAAGTCACCCTTCAATGAGACTAAAGAAGTTCATGGCTTTCAGGATGGAGGGGCTGATACACTGAATGAAGTAGATGGGTTAGATCCTACAGATATAAAAGTCCAAGGGAAGGAGACGGTCACGCAAGACAATAATGTTAACCTTGTGGACTCTTCCGTTGTTAATAACCAGACTTGTGAAGTTCCTCATGAAAAAGATATATGCAACGTCGTGGACTTTCATAGGGAATTCAGTCCTAGAAGAGAGCTTAATGTATTTAATGAACCATTTATTAAGGAGGTTCCTGAAACTGTGAGTTCATCTGTTGACATTGATGGGATTGCGGATATGTCAATACCTGTTGAAAGCAATGATGCGATGAACCCTACCATGGAGGGGCATTTGCCAAAAGGACTTGAGCATGAATTGCATCTGAAACAGAAAGAATTGGAGAAACTTGTATCTACATCTGGTAACTTGGACTTGTCCTTTGGTGCCATTGAAGATGATGAGATTGAAGAAGGGGAAATTTCAGGGGAAATTAGTGAGGAAATGGATTTATTATATGAAGATGCTGTATCATTGGAGGAGAAGAAGTCAGGTAAGGTGCAGATTTCTGAACATACTGATAAAGAAGCATTCACTGGTGATGATGGAGATGCAAGACTGGGGGATTGTGATACGAGAAGTTCTATGTTTTTGGACACAGTTGATTCAGAAACAGAAGGTTTCAGAAAAGAGCATACAAGTGCTGAAGTTTTTTCTCACAGCGAAGAAACTGCAACTAAAACTTTAGATGGTTATGATGCTTCTCTGGAGATTGGATTGACTGCAGAGCAAGTTTCAGGAGTCAATAAGACAGATCATCCAGCAATTTCTCTAGAAAACTTATCTCAGCATGGACTAATGCATGAAGATACAGCTGAAAATAAAAGTTCTGTGGATGCCAAAAGGGTAAGGAAAATTCATAAGGACTATATGCTTCAGACGTCCTTGATCACATATTTTGTGGATTTTTTGTGTAGAAGTCTCTGGTCCGAAGTTATTAATTGCTGCATTTGGACTTCTTTGCGTGTGACCTGTTGTGTGTCTTCAGATTATCATGGTTAACTTTGTCCGTACTACCAGCAAATTAACTTGCTTGAGCTTCCATTCTGTTTTTTCTGAACATTTTGATTCGGTAATTTCATTCTTACTACTAATTTTTAGACAGGGCATTATTTTTCAATTTTATTGTTGCTTTTGAAGAATGTAGCATTTCTTTATAAGAATAGTAAAATATTGGTTTAGACCTTCATTTGCATTAGAATCATTACGAGTAATTGAGATAAATTGTTTCTTATGATAAATCATGACAGGTGATACTGTTTGTGATTGTTCGATTTTAGCTTTGAGACCTCCCTTGAAATCAAATGATTGTAACTGGAATTATTCTGGATATGTTCATGGAAGGCTTCTAAAAAGTACCAGAATCTTTTTTCTGCTTGTTTCTTAATCTTTCGTGATGTTGAGTTCTGGCCAATGGTTAAAAAGAAAGAAAGATAAAGGAGATGTTGGAATAATTTTACTGTCTTCCATGACACGCTAATAGCTAGTTTCTAGGTAGCTCAGATCACGATGTAAATAAAATGTCAAGGATGTCACCAGCATGTTATCTAAATAAACTCAATATAGCTTCCCACTTGATGCTTATGTAATGCTTACGACAGCTATTTTGATTTGCTGTTGATTGCAGGAAGCTAGTGTTGGCAAAAAGAAAAGGAAAAAGGGTCCTTTAACCAAAGAAAGAAGAGAAAAGAAAAAGGTATACTTATATCAGTTATAGTAGGCTTTGGGATCATTAGCTGCTCCTTGTGAGGATGATTTGTCGGTAATGTTATTTCCATTTTCTTTAGTTGACTCATTTACACCGCTCCATGATGCAGAAAAAAGAAAGGATTAAACGAGCAGCAAAGAATAGAGAGCTTGGTGTTAAAAGGTTGAAGCTACAACCACTGTCGAAACCCAAGACAGTGACATATTGCCGCCATTATCTCAATGGCAGATGTCAAGAGGTTGTATGAGGTTCCATACTCTGATTTGCTCTGTTTACCATGTTTAATTGACTAATCTTTGATTACCTATATTCTTGCTTTTGGTTTTTACAGGGCGAGAAGTGCAAATTTTCACATGATACAACGCCCTTGACAAAATCTAAGGTTTGCTCATTTGCTCTATATCTTCATAGTGCATAACAATGTCACAACAGCAATCATGAGTGCCTGTTGCATTTATATCTCATCTTGTACTGCCAGTACTATCAATGGATGCATTGTCTTTTCCATATTCTCATGTTCATCAAAATTGTAGCTCCCCTCATTGTTATTATTGGCCATTACGATTTTAAGAAGTATAAAAATTAGTTTATGGCATCTATCATTTGAGGTGCTTCTTCTATGAACCTCATGCTTAGTAGCTGTATTTTCTGCTCCATAAGCACTAGACTTCAATTGGTGAATTTTTTGCTTTTATGTTTGTCTCTAAACAACTATTGTGTTTTTTGAAAGCTTTCGAACACCTTTATTTAATCTAGAAATCAAATTGAACTGTTGGTAAACTTTAAATTCCAAGTGACAATTTAGGATTGTCATTGGACTTTGTTGTTGTTCAGTGTAAAACTTAGTGAAACACATATAGTGAATAAAGTCATATGAATAATTCAATAAACCTCTGCACCTTTGCATGTTGTGCCTTTCATGTTGATGTTAGAATTTTAAAGCTTCTTTTCTTATTTATTTTTGTTTCTACTTTTTACCTTTCTGATTAAAAAAATTGTTATATAATCCTGTAAATTGTAGCTGATTTAGAAGTTGTACTCTTTTACGAGCAACCATGTTGAATCTCTTTTTTTTTTTTGGATGATTTTACTGCTGCAGCCATGCTCCTACTTTGCACGACATTCTTGCATGAAAGGGGACAACTGCCCGTTTGATCATCAACTGTCCAAGTATCCTTGCAACAATATTGTAACCAATGGCTTTTGCAGCAGAGGCGCTGGTTGTTTGTTTTCGCATGAGGTAATGCTTCCTGCTATGCTTTTTTATGTTGTCTTTGTATTCTCTTTATTCTTCAATACTTTCACTGCATCTGGCCAGAACTAATTTTTTCCAGCATATGATGTCCTATTTGCTGGAATTACTTCAGATTTCCGCTAAGGATGGTTCTCTGCCAAGTTCAAATGTTACGAAGCCTGAATCCAAGTCTCCAACCCTGGTGAGCAAGACAATCTCTAAGAAACAGGTGAATCACCAAGGTGTCCCTCATCAGCATGCTGATGCCAAGTTCTCCGTAATGGCAAACTTTTCTGGTAAGAGTACAGAGAAGAAAGCGTCAGAGCATCTAGATAGACCTTCTGCTCAGACACCAAAAGGAATCTGCTTCATTTCGCATGTGAGATCGCCACCAGGTGATAGCAGTAAGCATAAACAAGCTGTTCCACATCTTAAAGGAGACAATAGTGAGAAAGTCAGCTATAGCATGACTAGGAACCTTGAAGACAGCATTCAGAAGTCGAATGACCTAGCCAAGGGTGCGCCTTCAAAGATGCCAAGGGGAATAAACTTTCTGTCGTTTGGCAAACGTCCTTTGGATGAGTCTCTTAATAGGGATGGGGTCAGTGAATCATTGTTAGGGCAGGTAAGTAAAAGCAAGTTAGTTGACTCGCCTTTGAAAAGTGAAGTTCACATCAAAATTGACAATCAAGCTGCCCAAAGCAGTGCAGACTTAGAGTTAAAAGTGAATAAAACAGCAAACATAGTTTCACCTTCGTCCATGCCTCAGGCCATGAAGTTTCTTTCATATGGAAAAACTCCAGTAGACAATCCTACGGCTATTAGCCAACATGACACACTTCGCTGCATTGTTAACATGGGTCTGCCATTGGTCCAACGGAAGGAATATGCACTTGATGGACTCAAATTCTTCCCTGCAATGCCGCAAAGGTCAGCATCTTCTTCCCAGCCATTCGATCAATCATTGGATCAACCAAGCGCTGGAGGAATGTTAAGCTTTTCAAAGACATCACTCCTGCTGAATGCACCAACCTCGGTACAGAAAGCCCTCCGGTCAACCTTGGCATTTGCAGCTAAGTTGGATTCTGAAATTAAGTTGAACCAGTCTCTCGATACCCCGTCTGACATGAACAAAACATGACAGGTCAACGTTCAGAGGATAAATTGTTGGAAGCCTCTGAGACTCTGGACTTAATGCTGAATTGCATCAGTCACTGAACAGTGAATTGAGGACAACCAGTCAAATGCAACTTCAATTTATGCATAATTCTCTGCACAGATTACTGGTTTTTGCAGTTATTCCTGCAGTAAAAATGTTCAATTGTTTCCAGAGAGCTGCTGCTCTATTTAGTCTCCAAGGATTTTGGCTGTTTGTAGCACTAAGCTGCAAGCTACTCAAAATGATAGCTGACCTCTCTCCTCTGTTGTGTTACTTGGTATGTTGCTTGGCTTTTCTTATCCTTCTTCTCTCCTGATGTTTATATATCATAAAGCCAAGAGTAGAATGGATTTGATGAAAACCAACTTGCTGTTACTAAAATAAAATCTTTCGAGGCTTGAAAGGTTAACGCTAGGACCACTGTTATCGGTTTTTGCTTTTGGTGGAAGCTAAGTGTGACTCTCTGTTGTTGTTTATTATATGCTAATTGTAGATGTACATCCACAACTTTAATAAAATAATTCAATAAACATTTTTTACCGTTCAAGAAGTTCATTTTCTGATGGAAAGCGAGAAGTCTAGCCTAGTGCTTTTCTGTCTACTTTTACAGAACAAGATCTACTGCCTGCTGTCTTACCTTTGAATCAAAATTCATTTAGTTTTATCATGGTTTCAATAGGTAATTCCAGAGGCTTTTTTTATATTTAGTTTTTGTTCAATCTAGAGATTATTCCTGGAGTTTGAATTGTGGATTATGTACTATTTGGCATCTTCTTCAGTGTAGAAACTGTAAAATTCAAAGCAAGTAGCTAACATGCTTGATTGGGTTTGTTTTAGACATTTAGTATCTAGAGGCTAAATCTTTTTTTTTTTTTTTGCCCCCCCCCCTTGTTTAAGGGGTCATGGATGTGCAAATTTTTGAAATTAGTATTTACTTAATGTCATTATGCTAAGGGTGGGAAGTAAAGCTTGGAATTTTTTCCCTTCTATCTAGGTGTACTCGTAGTTTAAACGTAATCTGTTCCAATGCTTCTTCAGGTGAAACTACAGGTTGTTTGTTTCTTGATATGGCTGCTTGATGATGCTTTCTCATATTGCACAAACGAACAATTTCCCAACCTGCAGGGCGAGCCAATGCTGAGGTGCAAATGAAGGCCAAAGACAACTGTGCTCAGCAGGTAGATGGTAGGTAGATATCAGGGATTTCATAGACAAAGAAGCATTTTGCTAATGGCCAATGCACTCTTGCTGCAGCTTTGTTGAATCAAGCCAGCTGATGAATCAAATATTTGAAGTCTTGGTAAATGGTAGGCAACTAAGAGGACAAGCAGGCTTCGGGTGAAAGATTGCAAATATCTCAAAGAATTCCATGATGCGGGGGAAGAATACTGATATTAAGAAGTTTGCCATGAGTTAACATGTTCTCTTCTTTTCCTTGGCCCCAACGACGTCTCTAATGGATCAATTCGCGGCTCAACGTTTTGAGGTTCACCAGCCTATTTGCACCTTTGAGGATTAATGGTACATTAAGCTTGGCTGCTGAACCCATATGCAATATTGACCGTTAAATGATTTCACTAGATGATGTTTCAGACTTGAGGATGATACTCGGATAGGAACTTTATAGTATACTCGCCTTGTAAATTCGTAGCAGAAGAAGATGCTTGCCTCTGCCATTCCGGATTCCCATTTGAGCAAGGAGCATTTTGACATGGACAGACGAGATACATATATTTTATTCTCCAAGAAAAGAGAGATAAATTTTAGAGTGAATTTCCTTTTAGCCCCTTTGTGTGCAGTTTTGGCACTTGGTCCCATATTTTTTGCAGTCCTCCTTTTCTCTTTTTTTTTTTTTTTTGTTGAAATGATAGAATTGTATTGATTTACTAAAAGTATATACAGTGCGAGCAACGACTCGATACTTATATTGTACTATTAGCACAGTAGATTGGAATTGACTCATTCTACATCTTGATGATTGCTCAATGTTTGAGCACTAAATTAAATAACGACAACGCATATATATATATATATATATATATATATATATATATATATATATATATATATATATATATTCTTGACAGAGTGGTGGTGATGGTGGTGCATTAATAAGTAACAACCCTGAAACGTCATGAACAACCCCATGCAATTGCAGCATTTGCAGTGCTTTGATTAGAAATGGAGCCATCAGTCCAGTACTATTGCTTGACAGTGTCTTGATGGAAGAGATCTCCAGACTTGAAATAGATTTTCAGATTATTAGCACGGTCTCCTTTGTTCTTCGTGGTAGTCATCAATGTCCTCTTTACATGGCGACTTTAGCTGAAACGTGGAATAAGCAGTCAGTCTGGAGAAAATTCCAAGTATCTGAATCGGTTAGCGTTAGTTAATAAGCGGGTTTGGTTTGACCAAATGTTCTTCAGTGAATTTGGAACTTGTTTCAGTACGCTATCGAACAAACACAACTCCTCTCCCGCCCTCGACAAGAATGGACTTGGCTTTTGGGAACTAAAGGTCAAGCGTGAGAATACGTACCCCCTCATCCACATCAATACATCTAAATATCTAATGTACCTTGGGCCGGCCCAGCGGCGATGTTGATAAAAGAGCACAATGTTCTTCTGCCCATTAAAAAAAAAGAATTTTTTTTAAGCATATATTTTTTTTTTGGATAAATCATATATACACTGATAGCGGTTGGATATACGGCATATACGTAAAATTTGCGTTTCAAATTCAAATTCGAATTATGTGCGATGCATCTAATGGTGAAAGTGTATATACTGTCAGTGTATAAAAGAAGATTAATCATTTTCATTTTAGTCACACGGTAGCGATCTACACTTCCACTTATTCCTACATTATATAACAGAGGACAGATCCAACTGGATCATTGGAAATCAGAAACAGCTAAATCACCTCTAGATTAGACAATCCACGCTTACATCTAACCTTACATTATGAGAAAGGGGACAGATCCAACTGAATCATCGGAAATCGGAGGCAACTAAACTACCTTTAAATCAAATAAGTGCTAAAAAAAAAAATTTGAAGAACGCACGTAGAGTCACAATTGACAATTGACGAGAGACGAGTTTGGAAATGTTGGCATTATACCAACCAAAGATCTCAAGTGCACTTTTTTTTTTTGGGAGGGGGGGGGGGTGGTGTACCGAGAGGGGAAATGGAGGCTCTGAGAGCCTGAGATAAAATAAATGCCATCATGCTGTCAAATGCACCAGAGTGCGCTCTACCGACATGAGAAGGAGGCGAGTCTATAGCACTATATAAAAGAAAAACGTACATATCCTTATTCTTGAGACATTTTATTATAAGATGTTTAGCCATCCGAATCGAGTTGTTTTAGGTGTAGGAGATAATTGTACCCGAGACTGGAGAATACAAGTGCAATACGATCATGAGTTTCTACACGGAATAGCGTCGTTGTGCTGACAAATCGGGCTTCCAGGAACTGTAATCATCGTGACGCCTTAAATAAATATGTAGTTCTCTTTTTCTTTGTATTATTTTTTTTTTCATGAACGGATAAACTTGATGGTCTTCACTCTTCATTGAGAACAGACAAGGAGCGAGCAAAGCTTCTTGAAGCGTGTCAAGATTGGATGCTGGCCAAGGGGCTGTGCACCTTGTTTCAATCAAAAGTCGGCGAGTCAATGAACCTTGCACGCGAATTCTACTCATGAATCCGTCCCTGTTAACTCCGGTCTGTTTCTCTAAAATTAGTGACATATTCCTGTTTTTTTTTTTAAAAAAAAAAGTAATTATAATTGTTATCTAAAAGGCGCGGTGATAAAAGCCCATTGAGAGATCAAAGACAAGAGATAAAAGGCCCAAGTTTCCAGCTGAATATAAAAAGAAAAAAAGCCCGTAGTGAACATCAGCCAGCCAGCCAGCCAGCAGTGCATTTCAAGCGGTGGCCCATCCGCCAATCCCACGCGTCCATCTCCCTTAAACGGTGGACCGGCAACCCACACTCCCTGAAGCTTGCCACGTCACATGGTGGCAGCAGACAAAAAAGCGGATGGGTGACGGTGACGTAGCGGGCCTCGGTCCTTAATCAATTTTGCAAGGCCCAATTAAGCGGTTAAGGTTGTGGCCTGGTGTAGCGTAGCGTGGCGTGGCTGGCTGCTGCAACCAAAAAAGATTTTCTTCTTTTCTAACTTTTTTATAGTACTATTTATATTTTTTTTGACAGGACTTTCTTCGGTTATTGTGTCGTCCCGTCCCTTTTGAAATGGATATTTTAGTTTGTCTCAACTCTTTTCGCCTGCAAAAGAACAACAGAAATGCATGTTCATTGTAGCCCCCCCCCCTTCCCCAAAAAAAAAAAAAAAAAATCAGCTCTTTCGTGCTAGCTTATCTAAAATGTTATCATTTTGATTCATGATCAAATCGCAATGCTTACCAGTTTATTTAAAAGTCAATAACCTATAATAGACATTTGGAAAATTCGCATGTCTAATGATTCTCTTGCCAATAAGTCAAAAAAAGAAATAGCCAAAGAGACAGAAAACCTGAAGGCCATTCATTATTCACGGGGGACTTTTTAAAAGTGAAAAATACAGAGTTCTTTTGAATTGTTATTTTTATAAAAATATGTATTGTAATGATTTGATATATATATATATATAATTAAAAAATACATTCTCATGAAATATACTTTTTTTTTTTTTTTTTAGAGAAAATAGCAATCCAAACATATTTCTGGCGCTCAACCAAAATTACCCTGAATATGATTTGTGATTCGTCCAATATTTTTCTGTGTCCGACACCACTTGGCAGCCTGCTATGTGATTTGGCCGCCCCTCGGGAACGGGGAAGTATGACCACTAGCGGCAAGACATGAAAACCGGGACTTGTTGCAGCTTCTGACAAATTGCAATATCAGCCCCCCACCTCCCCAAAATTTAGGGGAAGAAACCTCAATTTGAAGCTTTATACGATTTCTTCTCTCTCCAATATCCTTTAATCCTTCGTGTGTACTGTGCTTTAGTTGCCACCTACTTAGCTTACGTATTGGCTTCTATGCAAGTGATTTATACCCTTCTCCTGCATCTCAATTTATTAAATTATTTTGTTTAATTGCATGCACTTACATTTCTCCCTTCTCCCTGCACGTTATACATTTTCTTGATTTAATTATTCTTTTCAAAAAACTAATTACTTGGCATCTTCTTAAAGACATCCCATTAATTGTAATACTCGTAAAACAAAAAATTCGTTCATATTGAGTCAAATGATTGAAATGCTCATCATCTCGAGTTCTTGGTTATGGAAAAAAAAAATACTTGGGAGGTGATTGAGGTGACAGACTATTAAGTTAATAACATTAAAAAAAAAGGGTATCGAGATATGAACATAAATTGTTGTTTATAGATTATTTCCCTTTCTGTTGATTGTTCTTTTATATTGGGGACAGTGTCATGTATTAGAGATCTATGTGAATTAATTACTGTCATGATCCTATAAGCAAAGTGTGTTGTTGGTGTCTTGTGATTGAAATATGAAATAAGCTTTTGTCAATTACAAATGAATTGGGCAGTTTTTGGGATTGTTATCTCAAGGTTGATAATAAATACTATCAATTGACATAGACCAAATGGTAAATAAAAAATTTTTATAAGCATAGAAGTTTGGTTTTTAAATTCATAAGATGCTAAAGAGCTATAAATCTCTGCGTACCTCGTTGTTGATAATTAAATACCGAGAGGAGGTTGTTAAAAAAGAAGAAAAAAAATTGAAAGGAGGTGGAGTACATTGTACAAGGACTCGATGCTGGAATACCCATTTAAATCCCAAACATAAACACGAAAATCATAAAATAAGAAACACCATCATCTTCCTGATTTAAAGGACTGGGAATAGCCTGGCAAATTAAAGAAATTTCATGAGCGGATCTTACAAAAAAATTCCAAACAAGGGTAATGTTTATCATAAGTATATTTGTCTTAAGTACGTAATCTGTCACTCTAGCTAAGTTTATTATACATTACAAATCATCGTATAAATCAAACATTTGATTAGGAGAAACCTCAAGGAAGGTAGATTATTCCTAATTCAAGATCATCAATGTCGGGAAAATCCCCGGCTTCACAGCACCCTACAGAAATTAAGAGGGGAAGCAACAGAAAAAGTGACCCCTGCGTGAGCAGCAAGGGTGGGGGGTCAGAATGAAGTTTCTAGAAAATAGAGGGACTGAGCAATGTGTGTGCGCTTTTCAAAGCTACAAATGGCAAAATTTGGTGCGACCACTGTCAACTCATATCCACATCTGGCCGATTTTGTCACAGCGCACCACGCCGCCCAGTTCCTCGCCAAACAACCCCCACACCCCTTTCCCTCTTACACACTATAACTACAGCCGTTCCTCTAGCGCTATGCCATTCTATACCTTGCTTCATACGATAAGTACTGCTCTAGGCTTCTAATCCAATACTAGCACTGTCTGTGCCGCCACAATTTTTCACAGGCCCCTTTGCTGGCCCCGAGTTTCTTGGTCCCTTTCCCCTTAATGTCTTATCTCTCATCTACTTGTCAATCTCCTCTTACCATTCTCGTTCAACATTGTCAGTAAAACCCAGTTTCAAAGATTTAATCGTTCTTCCGATGGACCAACTAAACGTGGGATTCAAGAGGAGTGTGCCAGTGGAAGAAGAAGACGCCCCAAAAGTGGAAAAAGCAGAAATCTTGCCAGTGAAAGAAGAACCAGTTGTATTTCTTGATGAAGATGGCCCTTTTGGAAATGTCAGTAGTAATTTTAGTGGTGGCGGAGAGTTTAGCGATGTTCCAAAACCGCTGCAAGGGCTGCACGAAGTTGGTCCACCGCCATTCTTGAAGAAGACTTTTGAGATGGTGGATGACCCTGAAACTGACTCCACCATTTCTTGGAGTTCCACCAACACCAGCTTTGTTGTCTGGGATCCTCACAAGTTCTCTAGGGATCTTCTCCCTAAACATTTTAAGCACAACAATTTCTCCAGCTTTGTTCGTCAACTCAACACCTATGTAAGCACAGATAGATGATTAATTTTTGCTCTTATTTCTGGGATTTCTATAATCTACTCTTTCTTCATTTTTTCTTTCCTGGTAAACGGGAAAGAAAAAGTGTTTTTTTTTTTTGGGGGGGGGGGGGGCGTTTAATTAACTTTTCATAGGAGATAGATCCTTTGGTGTATTTCAGTTTTCCTCATTGTAAAGGAGTATGTCCGCTTGCCCTTCCCGTCAATTTTTCCTTTTTTCTCTATTCTAATACTTGGTTGATTTTTTGGTGTTTCGTGTGGATAGAAAATTTTTTTTTTTTGGCAGCCTATGTATGTTGTGTTAGTGATTGCAGTTTTGCTGTTGAATTGTGATAGCGGTTCAGGAAGACTGACTCGGACAGATGGGAATTTGCAAACGAGGAGTTCCAGAAAGGGAAGAAGCATTTGCTGAAAAATATCAAGAGGAGAAAGCAACATTCCCAAATGTTGCAGCATCAAGGAGCTGGGCAGCCCTGGCTAGATTCTGCAAATTATATATCGGAAACAGAGCTTCAAAAACTGAGAAATGATCAGAATACTTTGAAATTGGAACTGCTGAGGCTCAAACAGCAGCAAGTGAATACAGAGAACTACCTAGCCGCAGTTAAGGAGCGTTTACGGACTGCTGAGAGTAAACAAAAGTATATGGCTATTTTCATGGTAAAAGCTTTTAAAAACCCTCTGTTTGTTCAGCTTTTCATTGAGAAAATGAAGCAGAAAAGGGCGCTAGGCAGCGGTGAAGTTTCAAAGAAAAGGAGGTTGGCTGGTCCGCAAGGCAATGAAAACTTGACGGAGGCCATGAATGCTGCAAATAACAGCCTGGATGCTACTCGAAAAGCTGTTGATGGCAAGAACCTTCAACCTCAGGATGAGCTTACCACAGTCGACCCAGAAATCCAGATACTCTTCTCGCCAGATCATGAATCAAGCGGTCCCCTTCAGGAACAACTAGTCGGAGCTTCTTCGAATACTTCTGAGAATTTTATACTGTGGGAGAAGCTGATGGAGGATGACATGATATACGAGAACGAGCCAGAAACAGGTAAGTCTCAATCCGAGATTGTTCTTGAATTGGAGAATTTGATTGCAAAGCCACCTAGCTGGGGTATGAATACGAAAGACCTGGCAGGGCACGCGAGTTACCCAGCTGGACTAATGGCATGAGCCCCTTGCAGGTATAATTGTGCTCTACTTAAATAAGTGTGTGGCATCATTGGTTTTTATCTCCACTTTTGTTTCTAAACCGTTTCTTCCTCTAATCAGGGGAGCGAAGGAAATGCAGTGCTCTTCATCTGACGAGAGGAGCCCATTGGGAACAATAGTAATACCGATGAGGATGCACGAGCAACAATTACAAACTTGAAGCATATCATACTCCTCGAAACTGGAAAGAAATTTGGGCATAGGGTTCTCCAGTTCTATCATCCTCGTTTATTCTTTTGTCATCTTTCCAGTTCCTGGACTACTTGGGCTTACTTTCTTGTATTGTACAGGCTTACCATTTCCAGTTCCCAGAAAGGAGACCACGGAGCGAGCTCCGTCTCTTGGTATATATATATATATATATATATATATAGTTTTTCTTAGTTTTACGAGCTAATTCCAAGGTTCTTCATCCTTGTTCTTGGTTGGAGTACTTGGGTTGGTGAGATTAGTTTTATTGTCTTCTTCTAACTACTAGTAGAGCACCTGGTTTAGTACACATTTCTTTGCTGTATATCATGAAACTATTCTGGAAAAATGAACTTTAAGTGCAACAGCTCAACTTCTGACTCTCTGAAATTGCCGTTTCTTCCGGATTCAATTTATGAACTTTTCGTTGTTTAAGAATTTGAAGTCTCGTGAAAGTGGATAAAACAAACTCGTCCTGGCTTCACAAGCACTGCGGAAATTTATAAGAGCTCAGTTACTTTCATTGCTTTCATTCTTCTTATTGATACGTTTAAACAAAAACGGTACAACTTTTACCCCGTGACCAAAGCCAAATTATATATATATATATATATATATATATAATATCATTATAACAGCTAAAGGCAAGACTGCTTTTCAATTTTCATGCTTCTTTTTTCAATTTTTTCTTCTTATATTTTATTTGAATTATATACCTAGGATAAGAATAAGAAATTGGTTTTGTTTGGCCTAGTATGGTCTATTTGGACATGGATTTTTTTAGTATTATTTGAACATATTTTTTAACTTTTTTTTAAATTTTTTTAATAACGTGTTTATTACGCATATCACATTATAAAAAGTCCATTTTTTGTAAGGATAAAGTAAAGAGATCCTTTTAACAAGCAAATTTGATCATGTCGATCATCCTGGTAAGTATTATAGTATAATTTAAAAATTTTGAAAATTTTTTTTAAGATTATTGTAATTAAAATTTTTAAAAAATTTGTAGCAGATAAACTTGACAAAAAATTCAAGTGCCAAACAGGATCTAAGGATGGGAAAAATGTGGCCAGAGTTTTGAAAAAATAAGTTTTTTCGAATAATCTCTCATCTAACCACACCCTATCATCACCTCTACTTTTGTCCTATGTCTCTTCAACTCGCTGTCATGATTTCTCACCCAAGAAAGACTAACGCAAGCAAATTTGACCAAAAAAAAAAAAACACATATTACTTCTTTTGCTTTTTCATTTTTTGGTATAAGAAAATTTGGATAGATTTGATTGTAATATACGCCCACCCAAAATTAAATTAAAGTTACTTATAAAAGTTTTACCAAATCGCACGTCTTTCACGAAGAAGGAAATGGTCCGTTTTACTACTAATTAATTGCCTCGACAAAAACATCTCACCACTAAGAAGGAAGATTGTTGTGTGCTCCCAATCCGTGTGACAAGGTGGATGACGTAATGTGTGCCCCTTTCCTTTAGTGCCATGCCAAAAGTGGATATACATTTATCATTACATTTGCTAGAAAGTTCAAATAAATCTGTTGGCGCTGTCAATTTTGGGCCACGCGTCCGGTTGGCGTCAGTCCCAGCACGGCTTTCCTTTTATGGTATCGTGATCTATGGATTTGACTAAAAGGATTTCCTAGTCATTCTCCCATCTTAATACGTTGATTTTACTTTTCAATTGAAAAATATACTTAATTTTAAATTTCTTCAAAATGTTCTTATTTAATAAAAGTCATTATTATCATCTAATTTTGTTTAGTATAATCTAGTTTATTTAATACAGGTTGTTATTGAATTGTGCAACTTTCTATCAATATTATTATTATTGCAATTAATATAAAACTCATTAGTCATACTCCATTAAATGTACGAATATTTTAGAGAGATAATAAACTAGATTTATTATTCTAACGAAGTTAACTAACTTTCTTTTTTTAAACTACTCGCGGCCTCTGGGCCTTTAGCTATTAGCTAATCAAAAGTTTTGTGCGCTTGAACCCTCTACAACGTAAGGGCTAATTACTTAGAATATAGGTTGAAAAAAGAAAAGTTAGACACTTATGGGTCTGACAGAAGGGTGTATAAATCTATGGGTGCCGGCACCTAACACCCAAATTTTTTTTTTTAAAAAAGATCCATGGGTGCCGGGCTGATAATTGACACAAACCTTTTTTTTTTTAAAAAAGATTAGTTGATAATTAGTTTATGTTATTTAGGATATGGTTAGTTTAATTAGTTTAGTGGATTAATTAGTTTAATTAATTGAATGAATTAATTTTAAGAGGTTCGATAAATGCATTTAATTAAGGTGATGAATTAGGTTTAATTTGTTATTTATTAAATATTCATTAATTTATTATAAATGATTTAATTATTTAATTATAATGCATTATTTGATGTTATTTGTTATTATTTGTTGTTATTTAATGGACCTTGAGAAATTTCTTTACGAAACTCCATGGCTGCGTAATAGTTAAGTGCGTATAGGGATATTTAGAAGAATAAAACGCCAAAGAAGTGATATTATTCAAGTAATCCCTTATTCAGTTGTCTGCCATTTTACTCCCTTGGAAAGTCGTCTACTGCGGCTTCCCCCTCACTAGATCCTCTCTGAATCATTGTCCTCTTGGGACCAATCTTCACCAAATTCCTGGAAGGCATCCGAAGAAATATCAAGAATTTCGGAAATTATTGAAAAGGGAGGACATATAGTCCATGGACGTTCAAGGACCTTCGCAAGATCCTACCCCGTTTAAGCAAATGAAGAAGAAGATGTGTAGGACCACCTTGCACTTTACATTCCTTGGTTTCTTATAACTTCGAATACAACATTGGCTAATTTAGTTCAATCCTTTTCTTCCATTATACATGCGGGACGGGCAAAAATATGGTACAGAGCTCCCACAGGCATAGACAAGCAAAAAGTTGAAATAAAACATATGATACAACAAAAAGGAGATATCGTCCTTTACCACAGTTTCTTTCTTTTTTGTTTTTTTTTTTTTTTAACTCCTACTTTCTGAAAGTGAGCTTCATGTCGGACTTTATCATTTCCATGGATGTTGATGATGAAGATGACGATAAGTTGTTATTCCTGTCAAATTCTTGTTTATCCTCGCTGAATGCCTTGGTCAGGACTTCCTGGAGTTCCAAGTATCTTTGCTTCTTCAATTGACGTTCTTCTGGAGTTTCATTTCCCATGTAAGCTATCTCTGAGAGGTCGTCAGCGTCCATGATCTTGTTGAGTACATCAGAACAACGAGGAAAAAAGCGTTTCCCGAGTTCCACTGCGCATTATTAGCATACCACGCTATGAGATCACATGGACTTCTGCCCAACTGGAAACCAGATTCCAGACAAATTCATTCTATATGCTACAATTGTTGAGGCAATTGCAAATTAACTCCGCTTTCCTCAGAAAAATGAAAAAGACAATTTGTGAAAGGTATTGAAGCCCAAATCCTTGTAAAAAAATTTTCATATTATACGTGGAGCTGTTCCATGGCCCATGAAGAGCAATCACTTGTAAGGATTAAGGAACGAACACTACTATTTGGACATGAATTCCTCTTCTTAAACCCTCCAAAAAAAAACTCCCACCCCAAAAAAAATAAAAGGCTTTTGCGAGATGTGTGATATCAAACAAGGTGGCACTAAATGGAAACAAAACAGATTACTTACTCTCAAGTTACCTTACCAGTTCTGGAAAGCGCTCTCATTCTACTCAGATGCTCTTCTTTCATTTTGAAAGGTGTCTCGTTCAGGTCCACAGTTGTCCTCTTAGCCTCCGCCACATTCTTATTAATGGTAGCTAACGGGAATTCAGAAGTGCCATCAACTTGAGCAATATCCATGGCAACCTTTGCCTCCATGGGGAATAGAAGTTTAGCCAATCCAACTGAAGCATCCAGAATCAATTATTTTTAGTACAAGAAATCTCAAAAACCTAACACTACTCTAACAGGCATACTTACAAGTGACTAAAATGCTGGAAAGAAGCAGTACAGCTGAATATATTTTTCATTGAGCACTAATGATTAAACTCAATACAAAATTATAGTTTTGACACTTTAGGAGAATATCAGACCATTGGCGGCAAGCAGATCACCAATTGAGTACCAGAGATCAAGATTTAAAGGTGGAGGAGCAGCTGGAGCCAAAGCTTGTGATGCATCCGAAAAATACAAGAGAGACAAAGTAGAACTAAAACATAAGCTCCCACTCATCCAAAAAAAGAAACTGAGATTGAGAAATCACTTAGCAGGTGGACCTCATAAAGCAAAACAACACCCAGCTAAAAGATGTCTACCTTGCACAGCTGTCAACATATTCCTGATGCAGTACAGCTTTTTTAACACTTATTAGCAGCAATACCATTATCTTATCTAAAGAACTTCCTCGTGTTGTTTTTTTTTTTTCCTGATCTGAAAAACTTAAACTGGCCATTCTTTCAAAATTAGGTGTTAGTATTGAACATACATGTGGTATCAGAAGCATTCTGTCCAAAATAAGTGCTAAAAGATGACCCAATTAAAAACGGGTACTTGAATCATGAAGCTCCTACTTATAGCTATTCAAAATGGAAAGGTGTTGATGCTGGTCCAAGAAGGAGTTCATGAGGGTGACTAAATTGTTAACAAGCAAGCGGAACATGACCGACCGAACAAAAGACAAGCTTGGCATCGACCGGATATTTTACCTCTATTTTCAAGGTATAACAATTTCATACGCAGATCATCGCCTGCCATAGCTAGAGAAACTGAAGCTTCTCCCAGCAGTGGATCTCTTCTTTCTGCCTGCTCCAAAATTTCTATGCACAATCTATCCTTTGGAGAAGCTTCACCTTCCTCTGTTGGCTTCTTATAATCCACTGCTCTAGTTAGCCTCTTTGAGATCTGAAGGGCTTTCCTTCCATCTGATGTGAGATCAGTTGGACTAGCTCCCTTTGTTAAAAGAGAAACTATGATTTTAGGTTCTTTTCTCATTGCAGCAACATGGAGTACAGTGCATCCCCTAGGATTTCTATGGTTTACATCAGCAAGGGCTAGATCTAGAAGCTCTGTTGTGGTCTTTGCGTCGCAATAGGCCACGGCATAATGTAGAGCATATGCATCATCTAACGTGGTATGCCCCTCTTTAAGTAGCATCTTAAGTAACTCAACATCGTCAGAATCCAATGCCCTGTGAATCCTCTTCACATGTTTATCAGGAAAACTACTTGTATCAAGCCCTTGCAAACCAAGTTCCCTGCGTGCATCAATGATTTGCTTGACAATGTGATGAGGCAATGCTTTATCCAGGGTTATCATGTCAACATCAGATTTAACTATAACCTCGATACATCTACCGAGCAATCTCTCACATGATTTACCACATATGTTTGCAACAGATAAAATAATCAATACATCATCTGCAGCAGCTTTGTGAAGAACGTCCAGCAGGTGCCTCTGCAAGGAAAATAAAGATGCAAGAGAAATTTTAGGGAGGAATAACACCATGATCATTTGCTGCTTGATTGTATTCTTTCTCGAGCTAAAGTGAGTGATTGATTTAAAAAAAAAAGGGAGGAATAACACCAGCAAAGGACTCATCTAATAGTTTCTCTTGCTAAGCCATTAGCTAAACTCAGTGGCCTTATTTGCAACAAAAATCACTATAAAATGGATAATTGGGTGTCTGTAATAGGAAACTATACTAGGGCATCCAGCACTTGTCAGCCAAAAACAGCAAACAACAGGCTAAAGAGGTTTTCCAAGTTTCAGTGGTCCATAAACTTGCATGCATACAATAGTTCAGTTCTAAGAGACTCGTATAACAATTATTGACACAGCTGGCATTAATAATTGAAGAGAACTTCAAGCTCCAGCATCATTTTCAAAAATTAGAAAGGCACCTCCATTTTGATCTGTGTTTTCATTCATCCCACTGTTAGTCCAACCAGTCCTCTTTTTGTTTTGGCGCATCCATTACACAGGGAATGTACCAGCATTTAACTAAGGGTGTCTATGCATCTTTTAGTTGACAATATGATCATCTTTGTCCTGCTGGGGAGAAAATGAAGAACCAGTTGTCCAAGAATATAGCAACCCCACATGATTAGTCAACCATCACCATCCTTTAAGTTTTGATTTACTTGGCTACAAAGCCAGATGGTTTCCACTGGTGGATATTCTCGTACTTGTTCAAATCCATATTTTCGGCCGTCACCCCTTCCTTACTTCCACAGACAGTCCAATTAGGACATAATTCAACTTAATATGGCACAACAGCAAGGATAACCCTGTATCTGAAAGACAACCCAAACTAGTAGTAAATACTAAAAATGATCTATATTCACTAGGAGCCCATTTCTAAATAGTTCCCTAAATTATAGGACCAAGTTTGAACAAGATTTAGTTAACATCTTAAGCTCCGGTGTATGAAGATAAAAACTCAAAATTACACATAAATATATCAAGCTACCTGAGCTAGACCAACAAAGGCTCTCGAATAAGAATTGAATGTCACCAAGGAATCCATTCAAGCCTGAAAATCCTATTTCGGTTCCTATACGAAATAAATTTGGCTCAATTAAACTTGAATGTAACCTATATGGCTCATATGAATTAAGCCAAATGAATTAGTCCAAGCACACACAATTATCTACAAATGAGTACAAGACAAAGCGTTAGTTTACCTGAAACTTGGCAATCAGCTCAGGGACCTGAAATATGAAAGATGCGTACAATACCTCCGCCATGAACTCCATCCGTGGCCTACACGCCACATGCGAGCACTCATCGTCCACACAGATGCAAACATCCTTGGGCGACGGCCTAACTCTGCCACAGTACAGATACGCCAGCACCGTCAGCAGCGCGTCGAAGCTGACATCACGCTCCTTCATCAACTCCTTCAACTCAACCTTGGCGGCGGCATTAGTCTTCTCCTTGGCACCGGAGAATACGCTCTTGAAAAAGGAACTCCTGGCCGAGAGAATGCATCGGTGCACCGGAATCTCCCTGCCGCCAGGGGCCACGAGCCTGGCGTCGGCGAAGAAGTCCAAGCAGTCAGGAGAAGACGACGCGTCGGATAAGAAGATGGACTCTAAGGTGTGGGAGAGGCGTTGAAGTGAGACGACGTCGGATTCCGGGGAGAGAGACGATTCGGTGTTGGCGCCGGCGCAGCAGATGCTGCTGCTCCCGCCGCTGATGTCAACATCGCTGGAGTCGGAAAAAACAGTGCGAGTAACCATGATCGAGGGCAAAGGTGTAAATAGAAGAATTAATGGAAGGAAAAGGCCATCGAGTTGTGGATAATTACGGAGAATGGCAGGGGGAGTGGTCCGAGTGGAGTGACGGGGAAAAAGGACGGAAAATTAAGGCGGGAATGAGTTGGAAAGAAGTTGGGAATATGGGGTGGGGGAGCGGTGGGGGATTTGGGGACAGGAATGACATTTGCCAAGAAGAAGAAGGAGTCGTCGAGCGTGGGAATTGCGGTCAAGAGAGAGAGAGAGAGAGAGGGGACGGGAATCAGGAATCAGGAATGACGACTGAACTGGAGCCGGAGCGAGTAAAAGTTGGAGGCAGGCGTGGGCGTCTTGCGGGGCGAGGGAAGAAATCGGTCGATCGGCTAGGAGACTGATGTATTATTAGTCCGAGTAATTACTTCCGGAAATTAATTAAACCGTGCGTCGGCACAGGATCTCCATTTGTTCTTCGAAAGTGGAGGACAAGTGTGTATTAAATATATGTCAAGTATTTTATTTATATATATATATATATATCATTTTTACTGCAAATATAATAATATAATATAAAAAAATACAACAATCGAACGGAATTGCCGATCGCCAAACCAAACAGGTGGCCACTCGTTCCCATGCACGTTCATCATAAAAGCCAAAATCTCACATAAACAAAGAAAGTACCCTTCGAACAATTTGTGGTGAAAGTCAACTGAATCGATTCCTCTCATGTATCGAAGAGATCATTGGTTAATTTACTTTAGATTCGGATAATACTTTGTAGCCTTTGTGTAAATCACCACTTTGATTTTGATTCCCTTCGAACCCCAATTTGTACATCAGATTTTCTGCACTGGACCTGAAATTGGACCAATTCTGATCCAAAGAAATCACCTACATTTCTTCTAGAAGAATCTTATGCCTACAGTTGCAGGGTGCTCGGATATGGATCATTTGGCCAAGAAATTTTAAGAATTAGTAGTGATAATGGAACCTGAAAATCACAATCATGAATTTCCGATGCCTTGTGACCTCCCTGAAAACTTCCAAAACCAATTAGACATGATGTAGAAATAATAAATGTGTCTGTGTCATGACTGACGGCCGTGGCTGTTACTTTCTTGACTAATACTACGTAAAAGAAAAGATAAAATTGTCCACAATGTCTTGAATCAGTCGCATACAACCTGGATAAACAACAATTTTATGTCGGAGAAACAGTAGGGGGAGGGAGGAATCTTAGAAAATGTTGTATTTATTGAGTTATTCCACTGCAGACAAAAAAAAGAAGAAGAGGGATTGCATTTTATTCCCTCATCTTGTTGCAAATGCAGAATTTAGACGGAAAATCAAGAGTGAAGTAAACCGTAAAATAATCGTAAATGTCTAGATTGTGTTGGCATTCTGAAAGATCTTATCGAGGTGAAAAAGGTGCTAGATGATCTTGCAGCTGCTACGCCTTCTTCTTTGGTGCCTCTACCTGATCAAGCCATTTGGCTTCCTGACTCTGGTGGACGGTACACACTGCTAAGTCTGCTATGCAGCAGCTGTCTATATCTGCACCTAATGTGCCTTGGTTTTCTATTGTCTGGTAAAATGCATGGCATGTCCTTAGGCATGCTTTTTTTCAATGGTTGGCTTGCAAAAATAGATTGATGATGAAGGACAGATTGCTAAATTGAGGAATTGCAGTAGATTCCATGTGTACCCTCTGTATGCAGAGTAATGAAAATCTTGAGCACATTCTCTTCCTTTGCCCTTAGTCCTATGCGGTATGGAGATTTGTCAAGGAGAAATGCCTGGTGTTCAAGGCTCCTCCGGCATTGCTCTCAGAATACGTTTGTTTGCCAGGACCGGAGAGTGGCTTTTGCTGCAACTATTTACCACTTCGGTTGCCAAAGGAAAGTGAGGGTGTTCAAGCATTTTTATGTTGAGCCTATGAGCGTGACTCGGCCGATTATCTGGGATTTGAGAAGAACCGCGGCTGGTTGGAGACCAGTGAACAGACAGCAGGACAATCTAAACCTGTGCTTGAACCTTAGTTGTTGTTTTTTTTTTTTTGGTTAAACAACTGTACCTCTCTGTTTTGTTCTTGATGTAAACTGCCCCCTACTGATGTGCAGTCTTTAGTTCTTATATCGATAAAAACATGGAGCTTGCAAACAAAATAACTTGTTTGATCTAATACTTTTATCAAGAAAAGACAAAAAAACAGAAGCAAAGAGAGGCATCACCACTATGATCGGCCTTTCCACAATATCCATATGCAGGTGAAGTTTACAATTCTGTGCTTTAATTCTACTTAATAACTAGCTTGCCATTCATTTATGGGGGAGCTGCTGATCCAATCAAATGCGGAGATGCTCAAGACTTCACTCTCAATCTTTATTATGGCTCCGTGGAGAACACATTTTTTCCAACCCCTTTCCAATAGACATCCTGAATCCACCTTCTTTCTTTGATGACGAAGTGTCTGCTCTAGAATCCTTCTTCGGATGAATTGCATGAACAAGGGCCTCAACTTCTTCCTTTGCTCTTTCAAAGACGTTTGGACCTTTAATTTCAGTAATGGGAGTGTTCTCATCTATGTCATCACTTGCTCCATGAGTTTCTTTATGATGATGATTTGCCGGCTTCTTTTTATGTAAAAATGCTTCAATGTCTTCCTTGGCTCTCTCAATAAATTTAGGCGACTTTCTGTCCTGCTCTAATAAGGTTGAAAAAGAGAGATAAATAGTCAAGTACGGGCTTCAAACTCTTCAAGAACCTAGTTGTCAGTGTCTTAAAGACATTAATTTGTGTTAGAAGAGTAAAAGAGACAATACGAGGAGGAAGTCGCAACTAATTACAAAAACCAGGGATAGTCTCTCATAAGTCTCTTCCTTTTGCAGTTCCTTGATTTAAAAAAAAAACTGTTAACGCTTCACATTGTCCCTGGAGCATGCCTCTTGATTATACATTTTTAATGGGTCGATGCAGAAAGAGATCATCTACATTAATCCTCAACGTTTTTATATTTGCCAGAGATCCTCAAAGAAACTTACGTAACAGAAAATTTTTCATGTTATGTTTTTCTTTTGAACACCTTTTTTGCAAGATCTACTCGTAGTGGTGCGAATGATTCATGCTTGTTCCAGACACCATACATAAACAAAATTACGTGAATGGAAACACAACATCCATTTTCACGACAACAGCAACCAAACCTGTAAATTAAATTCTGACAAAGGTGCTCAATTCCCAGTGGATTGAATGCAACAAGGCCAACCCTCAAAACTTATACTACTAAAGTAACAGGGAAGTGACTCGAGAACCGAAGAGAATAAAATTCCAATTCCAAAGAGATCGCTTCAAACATGATCGTAAACAGGACAAGACAGTTCATACCTGAATGAGTTTCTGAAACTTCTGATTTTAATTCCACATTTGCAGCAGAATGCCTGCAATCCGTCTCACAATATTAACAAATCAATCAAGCACATCAATTAAAATGGATGGCATTTGGTCTGTCAACTTTCCAAACCTGTCTTGACCATGATTCCCAGTATCCTGAGGTTCCTTCCTGGGATGAATTGCCTGAACAATAGCCTCAATTTCCTCTTTGGCTCGTTCAAACACATTCGGAGCCTTCACGTCACTGATAGAAGTTTCTTCCTCAATATCATCGCGCAATCCATGAGTTTCCTTGTGATGATCTTGAGGATGATGATGGGGGCTTCGATTTGAATCATAGAATCCTTCCCTAGTTCTTTCATGAGCATAGACCCTTTCTACATTTTCATCCACCACCAAATATAAGAATCTTGGACTCTTGTATAACAAAATCTTCATGTGATTCACAAACAATTGAACCCCAAAAAAATGAACAAGAAAGGTAGCTGATTTTTAAATGAAAAGCAATGAAAAACTTGCCTGATTCTGAAGCAAGGCTTGATGAAGGTTTTGCTCTTGATTCAGGCATATTGGAGATTATTGAACTCTGAAGTAATCAGAAAAACAAAATTGGAACGTGGAGAACGATGAAAGTGGTTCGACAGTCCGTATGTGGTAGGTTTCAATGTACGCAGAACAGTTGGAAAGAATAAGGAATCCAACACATAAAATATGCAGCATGCGGGTAGAGGTGGCAAAATGGGTGATTTGGACGGGTTTGGGTTGGGTAAAATGGGTAATGGGTATAAGTGAGTCAATCCATTTATATCCATTTAATTAGATGGGTATAAATGGGTAAGTCAAAAAATGAGTTGGGTAACCCAATTATCCATTTATAACCCATTTATTCTAATTTTTTACAAGCTCATATAAATTCATTTTGTAAACTAAATTATCAATTTATACCATTTTACACCCATCATTAATTTTAAATATTTACTTATTATGCCAAATAAGTCTAATTATCAATTTTTTTTCCTTCCGCATGCCATGTTGCAAAATTACATATTATTTAATAATTGAACAATGAGAATCTAAAATTTTGGACTAAATAGTATGAAAGTTAACAAAAAAATTTAATCCAAAACTTTGAACCCCTAGTATTTTTTCGTTTATAAATTTAAAATTTCATTTGAAAATGTAAGAAAGGAAGCTAAAATTTGTCATAAATTGATGATGCTAAAAAATGATTAAATTAATAAATTACAAGGAAATAAAGCAATAAGATAAAACCAACAAATAAATATAATAAATAAAACAAAAATACTTAACATCAAAAATAGTTAAAAATCCTTATGAAGACTAGCAATCACTTCATTTAGCATACAAATAAAGACAAATTTTCAATAAATACGAATAACAAGCATTCAGCTTCTCAAGCTTCGTACAACTGTATACGACCATTTCAAACGCCTGTAGTAAGCAGCTTGAAGGAGTGCCAGTGACAGTAAAAAGATAGCAACCTAAAAGTTTGCTGCTGGCTCAACACAAAATAGAGAAGATTCCTGGCAACCAAAACCAAAACCAAATTCAAAGTTCTCCTCTCTCGTATTAGCTCTCTGCCGACTCACGAGTCACGACCGATTCTTCTAGAGTGAGGATTTCACTTGGTTTTTATTTTTCTAGAGTGAGAATGTAAATTAAATGGGTTAAATGGGTTAGATGGGTTACCCAGTTAAACCCATTTAATAAATGGGTATAATTGGGTAACCCATTTATATCCATATATAAAAATTTAATGTACCCATATCCAATTATTAATGGACGGGTATGGGTAAAATTAATTAAATGGTTTTATTTGACACCTCTACATGCGGGTACCAAACTTACACGGGAAACAGGTTGGAATGGAAACGGACCCGTCACCCAAAAGCTCTCCGTTCCCCACCCCCTCCCGTCGTATGCAATGTTTTGAAAACCGGACCGGGCCGGGCCAATTCGATCAATTGAACCGCAAACCGGCCATGCCTCCGGTCCGATTCAATTACAAAGCCAAAGAATTAATTAAACCGATCAAAATTGGTTCAAAATCGATTGAACCGATCAAAATCGGGAGGTTCAACCGATTTTATTAAGTATTTATTTTTTTAAATAAATATTTTAGTTTTATTCAAAATTTTAATACTAAAATGAATAAAAATTATTAAACTTTTGAACTGGAATTGAATCGGTTGACTGGATCGAACTGTGAACCGGAATGTTTTCGGTTCACTCTCTGATGCAGGTTTAAAAACATATGGTTATTTGTATTGAGGCACACTCATATTATAGAGAAAAATAAATAATTACAAAAATATTTCATAATAAATTAGTTGTAGCAAAGTAATCAAATATGGAATTTTCTAATTTTTATTATTGAAGTTGGTAGGAAGATTTGGAATCAATATAGTAATAGTACATAAGTATAATAGTAACATTTATGTAAATGTAATACATAGTAAATAAGTATAGTAGTAGCACTTATGTAAACATGGGAGTGATACAATAGTATCAGTTATGTAAACATAAGGAATGCGAAACATGATGTGATTGTATATTATTCTATTATATAAGAGTAAAATTAGAACGATGAATAATGACCATTTTTTTTAACACAAAACAGATTACTCATAGAAAAATATATACTAATAATGAATTTATTCATCGTTTTTAAAAAATTTTAATAAAAAATTTAACATTAAAAAATTTTCAAAATTATTATGATCGTGTGAGTCTGTTTCTCTATATTTGATATTACATAAAATCTAAATTACTTACCATTATTTTTTGTAACTTACATGCCATAAAAAAAGAGTAAACTAAATAACGAATTTATTATTTAACTACAAAAAATTAACAAGAATGATTATATTATTTTATCATGAGTTTTTCTAAAAAGTATCCATTGGGCGAATAGACACTCGATAACACACTCAAAATTCATCAAACTTCTCATATATATACATATATTAACATTTATTACTATCCCTTGTATTTATATACTTTTCCTATTTAATCTTACATACCTTCCATTGTATTTATTTACTTTCTCTATTTAATATTATATTTTAAAAAATGTAACACCTAAAATATATCTTAACAAGTGTCTATTGGACATTCTAGACAGACGCCTTTATTATAAGAAAATATCATATTATCAATTTCATATTACATGTATATAATTATATTATATTATGTATTATGTGTGTGTGTGTGTGTAATATTAAAAAATTAAGCAGGGGACGGGAACGAGGCATTCTCCCGCTTCCTGGTCCAGTTAAAAATAGAGAGAAAAACTCACTTTCCCTCCCCAGTCCCTGCCCTCGTCGTCGCTCCTGTCTAGGCCTATCAACGGTTCGGGTCTAGACCCGGATCAGTCAATTTTTCACGGGTTCGGGTAGGGATATAATTCCGTTACTCTGACCCGGATCTGTTTTGTCAAACAAAAAAATGGGTCAGTTACGGAATATAGCAATCTGGCCCGTGTGCGGATATAAAAAAAAAAAAAAATAAATATATACACACCCCAAATTTATACCCCAAAGGTCCAAACAACTAAATATTATCCACGGACATGCAGAGCCTTTAGCATATACAACACCTGTTGCAAAAGCATGGATTTGAATCTTGCAACAAGTATTTATCGATGCTAAACATTATATCTAGAAGATGTTAACTAACATATGCAATATAGCCCAGTTAAGACTTTAACCAAGTGATAACATTGAAATAACACTTGTTGGACAAAATTAAATTGACCTTTCTTAATAAAAGTAGTACTTTTTCTAATTTTGTTGTAAAACAGGTTTCAGCCATTTTTTCGGGTAGACCCGGACCCGGATCCAGATGTAGGTAGACCCGTCGGATCCGGGTCTGGAACATAGAGTAGAAGATCCGTCGAGTAGACGGGCCGGATACGAAACCGGTATAGTATGACGGGTTTGGGTCCGAGTCTGGAATAATGAATTCCAACTCGGATTCGACCCATTGACAGGTCTACTCCTATCTCCGCCCCTGCCCCTACCTCACATTTGTCATTTTCCCTTGCATTGGTGAACCCAAGACACTCTCCCCTATTACCATTCCTAGAAACAGGATAATAAATTAGACCAATTCCATTATGCATCCCTTATGAATCGTAAAATACAAAAAACCTCCATTTAGTTTGGTGTACGTACGCACATTTTAGCTTCCTATGGTATATAAACTTACAATTTAATCCTTGTGGTTGCGATAAAAGTGAAAGTATTAGATGTTCTATTAGATAAAATGGTCAATTTGCAATAGTAACACTTTTCAAATAAAATCATTGTGAAATTATAAAATAAACCTCCAATCAAAACATGACATAATGTTCTAAACAAATTTTGACGGCAATGTATTAGAAAATTCTAAGGTAAAAGTAAAATTCTAGAAAAAGCTGTCTGTTATACTACTATAATGAATCGTGACAAAAATTATCATCCTTCTTTACATTTACCTAACCTAACATACCATATATGCACATATTTATAATTATTATCATTCCTTATATTTATATGCTTTTCCTATTTAATCTTACATATCATTTCTTATATTTATTTATTTTTTCTAATTAATCTTATATTTTAACTCCTGAAATATATTTTAAGGCCGTTAAACAGACCCGTAAATTAACACAAATTTGTATTTCAAAGCTGATTTAAATGATACCACGACAACCATGTAAATTGGGGTTAGGAAATAGTCGAATAGGTATGCTTCATCCTTGGGGTTAAGATAAGATGTTCCGTAGACCATTTTTTTCAAGTCATGGAGAAAATTTTCAAGTGAAGATGTTTTCAGAAAAATAAATGAATGAATAAATGAAGATGAGCGGCATAACCACTGTTTCCAAATTCCAACGTTGACTTCAACACTCTTTCAAAAAAAAAAAAAAACGATGACTTCAACCCGTATACCAGGACTAGTCTACCCAAAAAAAGAAAAAAAAAATCAATTGAACCGAAGCCTCTCCATGCGGGTTGTATGGACTTTTCTTCCTGATTGATCACTTATCCTACATTGTATAATTGATTATGTTTGAATAACTTTAAGATCACACATGAAGGGCTGAAATAATCCTTTTAATACATTTTCAGTCGGTGGATTTAAGATATTTGAGAAAATTGTAGTTTTAATCCCAAATGTTTAAAGTAAAGGTACTTTTAGTCCCTAAAGTTTGGATGAAAACAAATGTAGTTTCAAATGTTTTGGTTTTAATGGGCATTTAATTCTAATGATTGATTTTTACCAATTACTAGCGGAATTAAGTCATGCACCATCAATTAATAATTGAAAATTTTAATAAAATATTGCTAGGCATAATCTATAACATAAGATGACTAGTTACTCACATGCTAGTCGCTTGAGTAATTAGTGTTTAACGTAAATTTTTTAAAATTGCTGGGTTAAAGACTAATTATTCACGAGACCCGATTGTAGTAGCAATTAGTAAAAATCCGTCAATAGGACTCGATGTGCTTAGAAATCGAAACATTTGAAATTATATTTACTTTTGTCTAAACTTTAGAGACTAAAAGTGTTCATGCCTCAAATATTGGGGACCAAAATTGTAATTTTCTCTAGATATTTTG